CCCTACAGAGCCTAGAATTACTAGGATGAGTCCTTGGGAGTAATGGTTAGTGAGACTGTGCCTGCTTCTACTCTTTGTATTCTTTGTAGAGGGGATATAATCTCATAAAGAGGTCTCTAAAAGCTACTGTTCCTGAAGAATGGCACTCCCACTGTAGGGTATTGACACCAAATTGGCACTCCACTACATCTTCAGTAAGCCATTCTAATTCTCTAATAGGTAGTTGTCCAGGAATCTATTGTGGAAAGCAATTTCTAAGAAGGCTCCTGATGATCTCCACCTATGGTATTCATGCCCTTATATAATCTCCTTCTTTTGAGTGTGCGTAGAACATGTTGGAGGCTCCCTGGTAGCTCAGTCAGTAAAGAATCTGCCTGCAGTACAGAAGACCTGGGCTCGATCCTTGAGTCAGGAAGATCCCACGGAGAAGGAAATGGCAACCCACTCCAGCATTCTTGCCTGGGAAACCCCATGGACAGAGGAGCCTGGTGGGCTACAGTCCATGGGATTGCAAAAGTTGGACATGACTTAGTGACTAAATCACCACCACCAGGACATAGTGACTTGCTTTTAACAAACAGAACACAGCAAAAATGTGGTGTCATTTCTAAGATGAATTTCAAAAATGCTTGTTTCCATATTGCTAGCCTTCTCTTACTTGCTCACCCTTAGAGAAGCCAGCTGCCGTGTTGTTAGTTATCTTGCAGAGAGGCCCATGTGGCAAGGAACTGAGGGAACCTTCTGGGCGACAGGTGACCAGGACCCAAGGCCCTCTGTCTAACACCCTGTGAGAACCTGAGTCCTCTGAACAACCACGTGCGTGATCTTGGTTGTAGGTCCTTCCTCAGTCGAGTTGGGAGAGACTCCAGCTTGGCTGAAATGTTGGTTGGCACCATGTGGGAGACCCTAAGGCAGAGGATCCAGCCAAACCACATCCTATTTCTAACCCACAAAACTGTGAGAGAGATGTTTTAAGTTGCTAAGTTTTAAAGTAATTTGTAATGTAGCAATAGATAACAAATATACTTTCTTATCTTGGGCCATTTCTTCTTCTTCACAAAGTAGACAATTCAGGTGTGTTGTTTGCAACTCTGCCTATTGGGAAGATTTTCTTTCTTCATTCTCTTTCAAGTGTGTTCCTGAGGGTGGCTGTAATGTAGTTGCTGCCCATTTTCAGCTTGCTTCCATAAGCAAAGGGAACTCATCCATAACTCAAGCTCAAGATTTCCCCTCTACTTAAGCTAGTCATAGAGGGACCCCCTCTCCCCTCTTAAGGCATAGGTAGGGGCACCTGGAGGAAGAGATGCTAGTATAACTGTGGTTGGCGACATGGGACTCTGGACTATCTGCTCAGGAAGCTTACTGGTATCTTATGGGGCTGCTTGGCTTTAATCCTGGATGCACCAGACCTTTCTTTTAATGGACTACTCCCAGGTTTATCTGACTTTGTGACTTGGTGGGCCCCAAGTCATAAAATCAGTATAGTCAAAGCTATGGTTTTTCCAGTAGTCATGTATGAATGTGAGAGTTAGATCATAAAGAAGGCTGAACGTTGAAAAATTGATGCTTTTGAACTGTGGGGTTGGAGAAGACTCTTGAGAGTCTTTTGGACTGCAAGAAGATCCAATCAGTCAATCTGAAAGGAAATCAGTCCTGAATATTCATTGGAAGAACTAATGCTGAAGCTGAAGCTCCAATAATTTGGCCACCTGATGCAAAGAACAGACTCAGAAAAGCCCCTGGTGCTGGGAAAGAGTGAAGGCAGGAGGAAAGAGAATGACAGAGGACGAATTGGTTGGATGGCATCACTGACTCAATGGACATGAGTTTGAGCAAGCTCTGGGAGGTGGTGAAGGGACAGGGAAGCCTGGCATGCTGCAGTCCATCAGGTCACAAAGAGTCGGACACAACTGAGTGACTGAACAACAGCAACAACAAATAACCCAACTCATGGATAGTTCTGGTACCTGGTGTCCCAGGGTCAAGCGTTCTGTCCACCAGGGCTCAGCAATATATCAAGAACTATTTTTTCAATTTTAAAAAGGTGTATAATGTGTGGCTGTAGATGGCATGGCCATCTCCAGAACTCCAGGGGTCTGCGCTGTGACTCTCCCACTGGGACTTAACCATAAACTCCATTTTTCACCACTGACAACTTGACCAGCTTGGGTTTGCTGGAGTGTACGGCCCAAGCAGCCAAGCTGCTTGCAGTGGACCTACTGCTGAGCCCCTTTACATTCAAAGCTGGCAATCTTTTGTGACACCAGTATATGGCCTGGCACAATACTCCTAGGTGGAGAATATGTTGCTTCCAGAATCCCAAAGGCTTCTTTCTTTGTCGTAGAGAATGTAAGATGCCGTAATGTTTCTTACTTTGGAGGTACATTCTAACACACTCTTGACCACTGAACCCTGAAAACTTTATTGATGTGGCAGATTTCTGAATCTTTGTAGGTTTTATTTCCCACCCTCTGGTGTGTATGTATCTGAACAAGATCTCCAGCATACTAACCATCTCTCCTTGTTGCTTTTTTTTTTCCTGATCAGAATGATGTCATCAAAGTAATTATGTACTGAGAGAAGTCCAGCTCTCTTTTTCAGACCATATTGTGACAGGCAAGGTAGTTAACAAAACGCTGGAGCAGAACTGTAACATTATTGTTCCTCCCCTTGACCTTCTTTATCTCCAACTTCTGTGTTTGTCAACATCCATCATACACCTGAGGACAAGAGAAATGACCCTGGTTAGATCCATGGATCCAACGGACCCACTGTAAACCTGGCTTCAGCTGTGACTTTAACTACAGTTATCTACCTACTATTTGTTCCTTTGCTTATGTCTCTGCTGTATCTCTTGTTGTTTATTCCGCAAAGAATATGAGCTCTTTGAGAGCTGTGACTTTGCAGGCTTTAGTCTCTGCGGTGTCTGTAGCACCTTTAACATGCCTGAAACACCGTAGGTACTCAATAATTGACTAAATCTATTGAATTATTATTTTAATTTGTATTGCTTTAATTACAGTAAGATTTTATTTCCTGTTCTGTAAACTGCCTTTTCTTCATAATTATCATTATCATTAAAAATGTAATATTACTAGTAATAGTAATAATGATAATAATAAAGTTTGCCCCCTCTATTCCCGGCCACAAGCAACTGCCATTCCAGAGCAGACAAAAGGGCTGATCTAATCTCAAAATTGTGATTGTCTAAAGGTGAACTTGGCAGCAATCTGGGTTATTAGAGACTGTGAATATATCCTAACTTTTGTGTTCCTTTAGCATCCTGTTGTCAGCTGTACAGAGGCACTTGTACTTCATTATAACTGCCTTTTTAGTTGCCCATTTCTTTGCTTACATTATATTCCTTAAAGGAATGAACTGTCTCCTTTCATCATGTATTACATCATATATAACCAGGAGCTAGCACAATGCCTGATGAATGGTGAGAATGAATAAGTTAATTAAATGAATGTTCATGAATAAATGAATCAAGCTGGTCCACTAGGACTAAGCAGCAAGAAGCAGATTTATTTAGGTAAAAATCGATTCCTTCTGAGCTTTGCTCTAAAATGATGCTCCATACTCAAACACCAACATGGTAAATGATTCAGTTGTCTGACTGGATTATGGCCAAAACTGGACTCAATTCTGGGAGTTTTGCAAAGGAACTTTTTCTGGACTTTCACCCCAGGGTGTTCATTGCTCTGTAGGATATTTGAAGAAATATCTATGTTTTTCGAAATAAACATTGCCTCAAAATAGAAAAATAAAAAAAGAAAAAACAAATATACTCTGTTACAGACTTAATAGTTACTGCAACAAAAATTATCTTCTTACATATGTGGATATGTGTGCATTTATGCCTATCACCCATGCATACATATATGGGTTTCCCAGGTGGCGCTAGTGGTCAAGAATCTGCTTCCCTGGTTCGGGAAGATCCCCTGGAGTAGGAAATGGCAACCCACTCCAGTATTCTTGTCTGGAAAATCCCATGGACAGAGGAGCCTGGCAGGTTACAGTTCATGGGGTCTTGATGAGTTGGGCATGACTGAGCACACATGCACATGAAAAGACAAATATAAATTAATGACTCAGGGATTTGTCTCTATTTCTACTATAGAAGATAATCATTTGATAGTTTAAGTAGACCGACTTTAATTAAATATGCCAGGATATTTATTTAACAAGCATTCAACTGATATTGCCTGTATTTGCTGATCAGTTACTATATCCCAGGCACTGTTATAGGCACTTGGGACATATTAATGAAGAGAGAGAGAAAGAGGGAACCCCCTATCCATGTGGAAACATACAATAAACATAGTTAAATTAAATAGTATGTTAGATTTTAAGTGCTATGGAAAAATAATTGAGCAAGATAAAGTGGTGCGGGGTGGCCAGTGTGTGTGTTGGTGGGAGGCGGGTGTGTGTGTGTGTGTGTGTGTGTGTGTGTGTGTGTGTGGCACGATTGAGTGAAGGTGAAAGCTTGCAGAATTAAATGGGATGATCAGGAAGTGCGCTCGGCTGCCCCGTGGATCTGTCTCTTGCTTCAACAGTGCTTGGACTGAACAGACCCAGGGACGCCCCTTGCTCCAGCCTCCGACTACCCTCCAACCTTTTTTCCAGTCTCAACCTCCGGAGTCAGCCACTCAGCTGTCCGCGATCACCGGGACCAGCCACCATTTTTTAACTCCTTATTACTGACCCAATCATGAGCTCCCAGATTCGTCAGAATTATTCTACCGAGGTGGAGGCCGCCGTCAACCGCCTGGTTAACCTGCAACTGCAGGCCTCCTACACCTACCTCTCTGGGCTTCTACTTCCACCACGACGATGTGGCTCTGGAGGGTGTGGGTCACTTTTTTCGCGAATTGGCCAAGGAGAAGCGCCAGGGCGCGGGGCGTCTCTTGAAACTGCAAAACCAGTGTGCCGGCCGCGCCCTCTTCCTGGACGTGCAGAAGCCATCTCAAGATGAGTGGGGTAAAACCCAGGACGCTATGGAAGCCGCCCTTCTCATAGAGAAGAACATGAATCAAGCCCTGTTGGATCTGCATGGCCTGGCCTCTGCCTGTGGAGACCCCCACATCTGTGACTTCCTGCAGAACCACTTCCTAGATGAGGAAGTCAAACTCATCGAGAAGATGGGTGACCACCTGACCAACCTCCGCAGGCTGGCTGGTCCCCAAGCTGGGTTGGGCGAGTATCTCTTCGAGAGGCTCACCCTCAAGCACCACTAGAAACTTCTGGAGACCAGTGGCCTTTGAAGAACCCACCTAACATCAGGGCTGCCTGAAGCCCCTCTCTGCAGCCACTAGGCAGCTTTTTAACATCCTGGAGCCCTCTCTCAAGCCTTGGACCAAATGGAAACAATAAAGCTTTTTGCAGCATAAAATAAATAAATAAATAAATGGGATGATCAGAGTAAGCCCTGTTAATAAGGTGAGATTTGACCAAAAATTTGAAGAAACGAGGGGAATTAGTAAAGTGGTTATTTTTTTAAATTAACATGTCAAATGTTGCCTACAGGTCTTGCCGTTTAATACAAATATTTTTAATTGAATTGAGAGTTTGAATGTTATATTCAAAATGAATATCTGAATTGACAGACAAAACTAATTAAAAAAATCAAAGTATTAAACAAACCTATAATTTTTTTTTTTTTTTTTTTTTGAAATTTACTAATCATTCTTTTCTGTTTGTCAGAAGAAGCTTATGTTTTACTGAAGCTTATACAGTGTAAAAATAATTAAAAGAGCTGGAGAAAGAGGGACAAAGTAACAGGAAAAATATTAACATTGCCAATATGCCAAAGAAATGCAATGGTTTCATCTAATAACTTGAATTTTCAGGCTCTTATTATATCATGAATTGAGGTAGTTTGAAGGAATACATTTGCTATTGGCCATACCCAGGGTTAATCCCTTTTCATGGATTATTTTTATAATTATTTCAAATAATACTTATTTTATGAAGAAGAAAATCGGATCCTGGAGAGATTATATAATTTACCCAAAGTCACACATTTAGTAAATGGCCATGTCAAAATATAATCCCAGATTGGTTTGACTTCAGAATCCACCATTTCAGGCTTTACGCTGAACTGCCTCTCTACTACATTTAACTATTATATTCGTGTCTATGATGGGAGATAAAATGTAGGTGAGTTAAATATTCACAAGAAGAAGAAATGTACACAGGATTTGATAATCATACTGTACTTTTACCTCCTCCAAGAATTTAAGGAAGGGTTACTCAAGGTACATTGTAACTATAATCCACATTCAAGCCCTGTGACATGACGGCCGTTGGAAGCCGAGGCTGTAGAACTGCAGCGTAACTGAGAACACACCAAAACACCCTTTACAGTTTGGGGATTATTAGCACAACCTTTCAGGATCTAAGATCCAGTCACAGACTTTAGCAGGCTTTATTCTGAGACCCCATTGCAGAAAGCCAGAAAGAAAATGCTAAACAGGCAACTGACCTATTTCTAAGCTATGGAAGTAATTTCAACTCAAGAGAGGGTTGTGTCAGCCAAAGATGAACAGAGTTTTAAGGAAGGCATGACAGCGCAATGGAAAGATTTCCTGGACTGAAGACAGAAGATCTGAGTTCTTGTAGTAGTTCTACCATTAACTCATGCAACCTTGGGCAAGTCACATCACATTTATGAGACTCGGTTTCCTCATACATTGGGTGCCCAGTGCTGTAAAGCCTAAAGGAGGCCGATGAGTGCACTTCCTCCAAGAGCTGATGATTGATTGTCACAAATAATTTATTTGTACATGTGTCTCTGGAACCACAGAGTTTGATTCAGAAAGCTTAGTATGGGAAACGCCACAGCATGGGAGGTTATGAATACTAAGAATAAGTTATTATGAATTTAGTAACTAAATGGCTAGCAGACACTCCATTGACTCCAAGAGTCCTCTTTAGCACCAGATTTATTTTATGGGAATGAGTTGGTTCTCCCAGACTCTGTTCGTGGTCTATACCCTGAACCCCACCATAATGTAGATGAAAAGAAGCAAAGTCCACAGCACTGAAGGGCACTCAGTCCATGAAGTGTGGAGGAGAGAAAAGTGGAGGGGAAAGAGAAGAGAGGCAAGGAGATATCATTAGCTCTTAGGTGGGCACAGTAAGCACAGTATTCAGGAAAATTTAGTCCCTCTCTAGCAGAAAGGATGAGAGACTCAGAATCCTATTTGAAGCTCTGATAATTCCTCACCATAATTTGGAAAGGAAAGAATATAACCTCTATGGAGAGAAGTTTCTAGAGAAGCATGAGCTTCAGAAGTTCCTTGTCTCTGTATGGAGAGGAGGGAGCCCAGGAATAAGCATGCTGGAGAAGGAGGAGAATGACAATGACCAGTGTCCCTTTAGCCTGGCATTTGAGCCTGGCTGACTTGCTCCCCTGGATGTGTCTGTCAATTTGCCTGTGAAACCCACTGCTCTGCTAGTTCACCTTAGAAGGGCCAACCCCTCCTCTTATTCCATTTGCCTGAACACAGTAGGTTTTGGTTTCTTTTCATCAGAAGCAGCTTGATCAGAGAGAATGCCACCATGTGCCTTTCCTGCGCTGTGCTTCGTTGCTCAGTCATGTCCACCTCTTTGCAACCCCATGGACTGCAGCCCACCAGGCTCCTCTGTCCATGGGGATTCTCCAGGGAAGAATACTGGAGTGGATTGCCATGCCCTCCTCCAGGGGATCTTCCCAACCAGGGATCGAACCCAGGTCTCCCACATGGCAGGTGGATTCTTTAATGACTTGAGCCTGCTGGCTCATAAAATAGGCCAGAAACAAGAACAGTGATTCTCCCTAAAATCCCTACATGCACATTGCTGGTTCGGTGCCAAGTCTCTAACAGCTGCTAGATAGAGAGGACCAGACTCTCCCCGTGGATTTGGATTTGGTTTCACAAACCAAGAGATATCACCCCAACCTCTTGGTTGAGGTGTTCCCCATTACTTCTGGTGAAATAGCCCCAGACTTGTTGCACGTACTAAGGACACCAGCCACTCCACCCCTGAAGCAGTGGAATTCAGTCAGCCGCAAGTCTAAGGAAAGTCACCGGGACTTGGGAACAGGCAGCAGCAGCAAGGAGAGGAGATGCCCGCTGTGTGCTGAAGGTGCTGTGGTAGCTCCCAGTAACTGATGATGTGGACTTGGGTAAGACTGTCCCACAGGAGGATGATCAGGGCATTCTAGACAATGGCTGATGGTTGGTTGGTTAGAATTTCTTTAGATCTGAGGGGCTGCCCCTGTTTTCCACATTCCTTTCCAAGCCTTGTCCCTGGAAAGGGCTTTCTATAAAAAGCTGGTCTGAGCCTGAGCTGCCCATGGTCAAGTATTAGCCCTTAACTTTTAGGGAGGAAACTGAAGGGGTTAAAAGAGCCCATCTACATAACTTTTAGAGCAGGGTCAGAGCCAGGAAGAAGGCAGGGCCCTCAGGAATGCCAGGTCAGCCCTGCCCAGGCACCTTGTGAATACAGCCCATGGGGAAGCCAGACCAGGCCGGCAATGCCAAGGCAGGAGGGGAGAGCCAAGGAGGGAACAAGGATATCCTACGGTGGGCCAGGGGCCAGAGGGAGGGTTAACCAAGATGCTGATGCCAGAGACAGACCTTTAACAAATGGGAGGCAGGAAGGACCACATGGAAGTTGAACAGGGAGGGGATAAGCCTGGGGAGCGAAATAAGGATTATTAAGATGAAACTGGCCAACTGCCACAGCCCTTTGGTGCACATTTAGTACACTCCCTTAATATCCTGGAGCAAGGCCTTGAAGTGTCACTTTCTCACTAGACTTGCAGTGCAAGGGCCAGAGCTTGCTGGAAACAGAGAAGAAGCCTGGAGCCAAAGTGATAGAAATTTGCCAGAGTCAAGGGCAAAAGTAGGGCAGAGGTGGCAATCCAGAGAAGATGATGGCAATAAGAGGCCAAGAGAGTATAGAAAATATTGCCCTACTTCCTAGAAGTTGAAGTCAAAGGGACAGCTAACACAGAAGGGCAGCTTAAGGGAATGGCTTCACAGGCTCCTGGCTGAGATCAGGAGTATGGAGGGGGAGAATAGAGGATTAGGGATGGAGGATTGTGAGATGTAAAGCTAAAGCTTCGAGGGAAGTCTATCCAATAGAGGTAGAGAAGAGTGAGTGGCCCAGCCCCAGGAAATGGGACAGGCAAAACGTAATGTAGGAGGAGTGGATCCCAGCTTGTTGGTGGGGTACAGGATGGGACTCCCTTGAATGAACTCAAAAGCCCATGGGAAGCAAGTGGGAGGAACTACAGAGGGACATTAGGGAGAATCACTTCCCAAAACCCCTGAAGCCCCTGCCTCTCATGTTTCAGCCAGTAAGCCAAAGATCATTCCAGACCTCCACTGACTAGTCTAGCAAGGGCCATTAATGTTCTTCCCAATGGAGCCTTCTTAGTCTCGAGATGGAAGGCGTAGCTTTGGATGCCTGGGTACCAATTACAAATGTTGGAGATGAGATGAGAACGAGGATAGACCCTAACAAAGAAAGACCCAGAGAGGAGCCAGCAAGAATTCCTGAGGCTCAGAGCAACTAATGGTAACACATGGGAGAAAGAACTCAAGGGCTGCTGTGGTAAAATGGCAATTCTGATATGCTGCTGCCAAGATTATAAACAGGTATATTCTTTCTGAAGCCCATTTGGCGATATGTAGAAAGATTCATAAAAATAGGCCCGCCCTTTGACCCAAAACTCCACTTCTAGGGATTTAATCTAAGGAAAAGCTGATGTGGGCTCAGCTTTACATACAAGGAGGTTCACCACTGTGACATTCATACTCAAGGAAAATTGGAGGAAATACAAACATTCAAAGATAGAGAACTGATCTGGCAAAAATAAAGAACTTCTGGAAAACGTACTATTATGTAGCCACACTACATCATGCCTCTGAGGAATCCAAAATGGCATGGGAAAATGAGTATATTGTAAAATTTTAAGTGGAAAAGCCAAAAACAAAATAAGTAAACAGAAGTAGAAAATTGTAAGTTTTGAGAACAGAGATCCACTTACCTTAGTTAATGGGGAGACTGGGGATGGGGATATGAAGATGGTGTCTTCTAGGGATGTAGAATGTGAGAAAGGGAACACTTAACAGCTGCACAGCTGTGCTTCAGGGGCCAGACCGTCATCTAAGAACTCAAAGCCACTTTAGAATATAATGCAGTTTGGGTTATCCTATGTGCCTGCATACCTCTCAGCCTGACT